ACAAGTCGACTCACAGTGGGCATGGCATGTACGTACATGCCATGCCCGTCGGAAATGGGTTAATTACACAATAGCACTCTATAACAAATTAACTAACCTGGAAGGCGATGGGTTCCATGAAATACAAGAGCAGGAGACCTTACAGTTAATCTCATACTGAAGCGACCACTGGTTAAGATTCATGACATCTGGGGCTTCATAGATCCTGACCTGATTATGTATTGAAAAAAAAAAGTGTGACAATTACATTTCTTTGTACAATAACAATATTCAAAATATATAACTTCAAAAACTTAAGAAATCATAGTTACATCTGTAAGCATCTATTCCACAATATAAGATCATTTAGTATAAGGCAATAATATGTTAACTAAGCCTGCAATACTGAGCTCACCACACCATCAGCAGAACAAGTTGCCAACTGGAGACCCTGTTGTTTTGGGGCAAATTTAACATCCATTACAGATGTTCGAGAATCCACTAGATTTGTTCGCCTGATCCAAGCACTATGAATCGCATGTCCAGAATCACTCACTATTGGGTTTACAGAAAATTCTCACTTATTAGTGCCATGCTGTATTATAGCAGGTAATCATTGAAATATTCATATAATAAGCAATATATAGACTGTCAATGAAAGGGAATTACTCCCAGTGGGTCAAAGGCTTTGAATGATTTATATTAATAAATACAAATGTTAATTCATGAACTTAGGACTGCATCCACCTGAGACAAAGTCTTACAATGGCCTTAGCCTTTGCACCTTTGCCATACTTGCTAAATACCTACAAACCTCCACACCACATTCTTAACTAACCTGTCTCTTCCCACACTGCAGCTGCACGGTCAAAGGAACAAGTGGCAATGATCTGGCCAAAATTAGGGTGAGCCCATGTCACCTTCCAGACTGGACCACAGTGTGTCTTCCAAGAACTTGTACACACCCACTCTCCATTTTCCCCCATATCCCAGATCTACAAAAAGAAAAATAATTAGATAAATAGACATATAACTATCTTATACATGCATTTACTCAATGGTAAAAATTCCATTTATTCTCATTTTCATGTGCAGTTTTTCTCCTTTTTACCCTACGGTTCATGCCTTTCCATACAAATGTGGTCAATATTATTACTACATCAAATGAAACCTCTATACTTAATAAGTATAATCTAAAAGAGTATATGATGAGTACATGGAATTAACAGACTGATAAATACTAAAATACTTCTCTTCTATAACATAGGCCTAGATGTCTTATACTCAACACTTGGTCAATCTATAAAAGGAGTAAAGCTAGAAATAGAGGCCATCAATTGATAACTCATGCATCTGACTTATGTGCTTCTAGCAAAGGCCAGTAAACCTTCACCATATGTGTTTTGGCAGGTAAGGTTCCATAAACCTCAAACTCAATGGGATATAGTTTAAGTTTCCCACAGCAATGTAGTATAAGGTAAAATTTTCTTGTAATAGACAGAATGACCAAAAATAAGAATTTTCCTCCGAGGTATTACCTTCACAAGTTGATAATAAGAAAGTTGTGCAACATGTAATACTTCAACATAAATTACAGAAAAATGTAATAATCACAGAGAAGAATAACACAGAAATGAATAGGTAAATATGGTATTTGGAAGGGGGTCTGGGAGTAAAGTTTAGGAATGTTACGGCAGTTTGCAGATTTGACCAGAGTAATAGGGACTTAATCTCAGAAGGGAGCTGTCACTCTGTAAACATTACCAACACTTACACATACATCATTTCTAACACAAAATAACGAGACTCACGCATATTGCAGTGTTAATGGTTGAAAGAAGGAATAATTATTAGATTAGGAAAAATATTCATAATGGATATGGTCAAAATTTAACTACTGATTTTCTAAAGCAAATTACTTTTCCTAAAGAGAAATTATTTTCATAAAAGGAATACAGCTTAGAATTATTCCGATTTTATCATACTATTTAACTTGTATTGCATTTATACTTAAAATCCTAATTATACCATTAAACTATCAATATTCATTAACCCAAACTCTGAACAATATTATCCCAGGTGTTCACCATCCAAACCATAACAGAAATCTAAGACACAACAAAATCTGAAAATCCTACGAAAATTACATCACAAAAAAATACAAAAAAAAATACAAAAAAAAATACAAAAAAAAATACAAAAAAATATACAAAAAAAAATCAAGCCACGAAAATCTTAAAACTTCACCTTAACACTCTGGTCACTCGAGCACGTGGCCATCCTCTTCCCATAAAAGTCGAAAGACACATCATGAATCAGGTCTTTGTGTTCGGCGTTAATGCTCTTGGCAACAAACATCGTGGCTAAACTATTCAATGGAGTTTCTGGATTTGCATTGAGAGGCCTTTTGAGTGTCGAATCGCATAGGGGAAAAAAACACAACACGTCGTACTTTTGGGGCGAAGATTGTCGTGCGGTTGACATGCGTTTTGTGCCGGTTTCGTGCTCTACTTTATTACTTTATATTACTTTATTACTATTATTTGTTTATTTATTTTCGTGCTGGTTTTATATTACTTTATTACTTTATATTATTTTATTACTATTATCTATTTATTTATTTTCATGCTGGTTTTATATTACTTTATTACTTTATATTACTTTAGTACTATTATTTATTTATTTATTTTCGTGCTGGTTTTATATTACTTTTATATTACTTTATATTACTTTATTACTATTACTTTATTACTATTATTTATTTATTTATGTTCGTGCTGGTTTTATATTATTTTATTACTTTATATTACTTTATTACTATTACTTTATTACTATTATTTATTTATTTATTTTCGTGCTGGTTTTATATTACTTCTATATTACTTTATAGCCATGAGAATTATACTTGGATGCCCAGTGACCGCTAAAGTTCTCGTCATGAGGAAAGAGTTAGACCTCCCTTCTATTCACAGTCGTGTCATCCAAGTTAACACCATACTTGGCATCAGGCTCCTGCAGCTTCAACCCAGACCACAAATCTCCAGTATTCTATCAAATGAGATAAATTATAGAGTCAGGCATGTCCGGCCTCGATATTCCAATCTCATATAGTCCAACTTAGAATGGAAAACTAAAACTGCTCATACTATCTTGTTCTTCAATGTATGGAACAACGAAGCTATTAATATTCCAGATACAGTATTTACTGCTCCTTGGCACAGAACTCATGTACGTGCTCATATTGATAAACTAATAGGGTCTAAATCTATGGCTTCAAAAACGGAACTAAAAGCTCACTACTTGGAATATATAGACGGCATTCTACATCCCCCTCATAGTACGCCCCCACTTGCAATCTACTGTGATGCCTCCACTGGTCCTCATGGGGCAACAAGGATTGGTTTGCTATTTCCTGATATAGACCATGAAGAAAGTGAGTGCATCTCCAACTGGGCAAGCACAACTGATGCCGAGTCAGTAGCTATATATCATGCCATTAAGAAAGGTAGTGAACAGCAGCGAAACCTGGCTGTCTTTACAGACAACCAAGGCGCTCTTAGCAGGCTTACTGCATTTACTCCAGAAAACATGGTAACTAAGAATATCCTTCACCAAATTTCTAAATTATCAGAACGGGGTACCCAAGTGTCACTATACTGGATACCCTCTCATATAGGAATATCACTATGTGACAGGGCTGATCAGTTAACCAGGTTAGCACTTTCCCATGAAGATCCATACTATGTAATACCGCTATCTCTCAATCTAATGAAAAAACGAGTTATCAACTGTCTTCGAGATTATGAGGATCAGGTATGGACCAATGAAAAAATGAAAAAAAGACGGACATGGTACTATCTGGCACTACGAGAGTGTTGTTGGGACATCAAATTTAGACAAGCCCTATATAGTCTATCACGGACTGTCTCGGAGACAACAGGTTACATTAACTAGGCTACGCATAGGATATCAGTACACTATACAATATGTACAGGATGCAGTTTTGGATGCAAAACCTGTTTCATATCACAATTGCAAACTGTGCAAGGAACCCAAGTCGCATAATCTCACTCATTACTTACTCTGCTACATAAAGACTGCATCCTATCGATCAAATAGTACTGTTCAGAGAATAGCGCTTGTTGATTATATTAACTTTATTATAGACACTGGTCTTGTCTTTGACATGATTAGTGATGTAAAAGTTTTTTTACCAGTCAGATGATATTTTAATATTGTAATAATAGAACAGCCCTTCAGGCATGTATGTAACACTAATGTTTGACCAATGGCCCTCTACACAAATAGAAGCACAGCCAGTTTGGATAGATGCTTTGGTATCTTACCCTGGCTTTTTGCAGGGCATGTACACTGTTCTGTAATTAAATGTTATCAAATCAGATCAATTACTTCTATATTACTTTATATTACTTTATTACTATTACTTTATTACTACTATTTATTTATTTATTTTCGTGCTGGTTTTATATTACTTTATTACTTTATATTACTTTATCACTATTACTTTATTACTATCATTTATTTATTTATTTTCGTGCTGGTTTTATATTACTTTATTACTTTATATTATTACTATTACTTTATTACTACTATTTATTTATTTATTTTCGTGCTGGTTTTATATTACTTATAACTTAGATCTCATGTGTCACGCGAATGTTCTAGTGCGTTTGAAGTGTAGAGGATTTCTTAGAAGATGAATAACGTTTTTCGATATGGGAGTCCTCAATCTCTGCAGTTCATCGACCTCCTTATAAAGTAATTATATGAACATGTAATAGCAAATTAAGAAAACGTTTTAGAGGGACGAAGAGGGGGGTAAGAGGTTCTGAAAAAGTGGCAGTTTCAACTTGTCTCTTGCAGATCCTTACTAAATACTTTAACTAATGGTAATTCTAAGATTAGCAAAAGTAAGGATGTTGATTATATAATAATGATGATCAATCATTATCATCGTCGTCGTCGTCGTCGCCGTCGTCATCACCATCATTATGATGATAATAATAATGTTAATAATGATAATGATAATGATAATAATAATAATAATAATAATAATAATAATAATGATAATAATAAAATACAATAATAATTATTACAATAATTATAATAATGATAATAATAATAACAACAATAATAATAACAATAACGATAATAATAATAATAATAATAATAATAATAATAATAATAATAATTGTAACAATAATAATAATAATATAATAATAATAATATAATAATAATAATATAATGATAATACTATAATAATAATAATAATGATAATAATAATAACAACAATAATAATAACAATAACGATAATAATAATAATAATAATAATGATAATAATAATAACAACAATAATAATAACAATAACGATAATAATAATAATATAATAATAATAATATAATAATAATAATATAATAATAATAATATAATAATAATAATAATATAATAATAATAATAATAATAATGATAATAATAATAACAACAATAATAATAACAATAACGATAATAATAATAATAATAATAATAATATAATAATAATAATAATAATAATAATAATAATAATATAATAATAATAATAATAATAATAATAATAATAATAATAATAATATAATAATAATAATATAATAATAATAATATAATAATAATAATAATAATAATATAATAATAATAATAATAATAATAATATAATAATAATAATAATAATAATAATAATAATAATAATAATAATATAATAATAATAATAATATAATAATAATAATAATAATAATAATAATGATAATAATAATAACAACAATAATAATAACAATAACGATAATAATAATAATATAATAATAATAATATAATAATAATAATAATGATAATAATAATAACAACAATAATAATAACAATAACGATAATAATAATAATATAATAATAATAATAATATAATAATAATAATAATAATGATAATAATAATAACAACAATAATAATAACAATAACGATAATAATAATAATATAATAATAATAATAATAATAATAATGATAATAATAATAACAACAATAATAATAACAATAACGATAATAATAATAATAATATAATAATAATAATAATGATAATAATAATAACAACAATAATAATAACAATAACGATAATAATAATAATATAATAATTATAATAATGATAATAATAATAACAACAATAATAATAACAATAACGATAATAATAATAATAATAATAATAGTAACAATAATAATAACAATAATGATAATAATAATAACAACAATAATAATAACAATAACGATAATAATAATAATAATAATAATGATAATAATAATAACAACAATAATAATAACAATAACGATAATAATAATAATAATAATAATATAATAATAATAATAATGATAATAATAATAACAACAATAATAATAACAATAACGATAATAATAATAATATAATAATAATAATAATGATAATAATAATAACAACAATAATAATAACAATAACGATAATAATAATAATAATAATAATATAATAATAATAATAATGATAATAATAATAACAACAATAATAATAACAATAACGATAATAATAATAATATAATAATAATAATAATGATAATAATAATAACAACAATAATAATAACAATAACGATAATAATAATAATAATATAATAATAATAATTATAATAATGATAATAATAATAACAACAATAATAATAACAATAACGATAATAATAATAATAATAATAATAATAATAATAATAATAATTGTAACAATAATAATAACAATAACGATAATAATAATAATATAATAATAATAATAATAATAATAATGATAATAATAATAACAACAATAATAATAACAATAACGATAATAATAATAATAATAATATAATAATAATAATAATATAATAATAATAATAATAATATAATAATAATAATGTCTCGCTGGAACATTTGCCTGCCACAGATGTGAGTTTGGCGTAGAACGCCTATTTCTCATCGAGTTTGCAAACATTGATGTGAGCTTGCACAGCAATAAGAGATACGAAGCCAAAAGCATGCTTCAATCTCAGTGCCATGTTAGGCTCGTCAACCGGAGTAACCTCTACTACCGAAAGCTGGAGTCGGCTGGAGATGGCTATGGTTACTCCCTGGAGTTGGTGAACACCGTCCCGGCCTGACCAGTAGTAGGTGTACCCACCCATACTAGTCGTGCAGCTGTCAGTTTTCTCACCTCCGACTTCGAACCGCTTCAGTTCCCTCTTAGCAGGGGTATTCGACCATCCCGCAGTGAAGACCAGATGTTCCAAGCTCCTACCTGGATAGCCACTCCTGTCGATGTTGCCCTATACAAAGAGGGACGGCAGGTTGTGGGGCCCAATGGGTGAGAGGGACAGTACCCTTCCACCCAGCATTTCCACTTGTAC